GTCAAAGAGCTATTGTAAATTACTGGTATCAGTTGCATGTGAATTCCAGTTGGGCATAAGAGATTTCAGCACAATGTAAACCAAGCCATAGCTGGAAATTGTCTGAAACGAAGACTTTAAAAAATAACTATGCTGTCCTTGGCCACCCAAACTGCTTAGAGTGGATTTCTTTGGTTGTTTAGTTCGGTTTTGCTTCCTGATGCTTGATAGCTGTAATTTCCAGAAACTAGACCACTGAAAGGCAAAGACAGGCAGTAAAAATAGCTAATTTCACTAGAGGGTTGGATACAGTTGCTCACTGAATAAACAGACAGATTAATAGCTTTAAAGTTTAGCCACAGAAAGCAAAGGGAAACAACTCTGTGACAGCAAAGTGCTGAGAGGAAGCTAAAGATGTACAGAAAGCCACTCTCTTCTGCTTCATCAATTTCTAATTGAATAATGTTTCCACTGTCTTTCTATCAAAGCATGGGATTTTTAGTCTGATGTCAAGGGAATTATGAAGATCCCTTTCCCTCAAGCCGGTTCTATTCTTGTTTTACTAGCCAATCTGCTACTTTGAGGTTGCACACTTTAAAACTTAAAAACACTGTCAGTGCAGGCTAAGAATGGAAGAGTTGTTGCAATGCCTTCCCTGAAGTCTGGGTCAGCACACTTGTGTAAGTGCATACTGACAGGTGGGAATAAGGAAGGGTGGAGAAATTCTTATACAAGAAGGAACATGCCAATATTTCATTGTGAAAACTGGGTGATGGCTAATGGAAAGGGATCTTAAGTCTGTCAGACTGAATTTAAATGTGTTGTAGTAGCTTTATAACGTGTATCAAATCGAAGGCCTTTTAGCTGTGATTCAAAGTGAAATTGCAGCTGGCTTTCATCTGTGTCCTTAACAAAATGAAGTCCAGTGGACTAAAAAGGGTGTTTCCATTTGAGTTCTTATCCACAGTCTGAACTCAGAGGAATTGGTGTCACAGATGTACAACAAGGACATACTTCCTAATGAGCTGACAGATAGGGGAAGAATTATAGAGCAGAGGCAAGATCTCTTTTCCAAGGTGATTGTTTTTCTGGTGCCAAGGACTGAAATAGTTGTCTGTGTGATGTTCCTCACAGAGAACAGGAAAAGACTGGAGAAGCAAGCGGGAGGGTGTGCAACACTAAGTTAAGCATCATTCCCCTTCTGCTACTCAGAGGAGAAAAGGAATAGAGTTGTTTTACTTGCAAGAAACGAGATGTCTTTATGCACACGCTCAGTATTTGGGGAAATGTATTCCCTTTCCAGCTATGCTGTAGATCAGGGTGTAATCTTGGCAAGTGCAGCAAAGCCATCTCCAGCACGCATGAGTAGAACTGTAATCGCTTGACTAGCCCCATTCAAGGCAAATAGATATGCATCTGCTTAAGTACCTCTTAGAATTAGTAATCTTGTTGATGAGATCTAAGAGCCTTACACCTGCACAGTATGGGGCATGATATTGCTCTGGATATACCAGTATGGAAAGTCCTTAGGTGTCTAAATTAATAAAAGCCTGCGTGCTTTGGAAAGTCTTATACAGAGATGTGAGGCTGGGGACTTAGTGCCAATGAATAATAAAAAAAAAAAAAAAAAAAAGGATTTAATTGGAAAATATAAAACAAGAAATACCAGAAGATGCATTAGAAGTTGTTGCCCTTAATTTCACACTGTAAACAGTTAATGAATGCTGGAAACTTGAGCCAAGAATACTCGTAAAAATCAGTAAATGCCTACTTGCATATGTAGACACTCTTCTATGGTTGTGGAGCAAGCGCTTTGATTCTCAAAACTGCAGACAAGTAGGCAGGATCTAGTGATGGAGTGAGAATAGGTATCAGTCCTGCAAAGCCTGTCTGTTCTTTTTGAAAGCTAAAAATCAAAAGACTTTAGCAATACATTTAGAAGTATTTTACATTAAACATTGCCCATGTGTTATGTCAAGTGTTGTAGCAGCTTCATTAGTTTTCAGCTCTTCTATAAAATCTCCAGGGTTCCTTTTGTGGTTGTCAGAAGAACTAACTGAATGTGCATACACTTTAATTCTTCACACTTGAATGTGCTAGTACTTCCCGCACCGCTTTGTAACATCGTTGGCAAACTGCCCTTCCACCTGAACTTTTCCTGTGGCTGGATTATGGCCCCATATACAGAACAATGTAGCCTGGTACTTATTTTTGTTTGGTTTTTTACTATGTCTGTAAGGATATTTTGGCTGTTTTATGATAAACTTTCATTCGGCAGTCAAGTGCTTGCTAGCAGCATGTCGTAAGACAGTGTCAGATCGTTTAAGTCACAAGACCTGAACTACAAAGTGAAATACCACAGATGTATACAATGTTCCAAGCTAATGTGAAATATTATTATTTCAAGCCATAATTTAGACAGTTGTAGGGCTCAGAAAACCTTTGCTGGAACTAAATGTCAAGTACGAAGTCTAAACTTTGAAATGCTCTATTGAGAAAAGGGGATTGTGTAGCAAACATATCCCGTAATTTGAGTTCTCTTCTTGGAGCTCTTGCCATCTTCAATTTTTGGTGTCAGCTAATATCTTAGCTATTAGGGGAGAACTTTCATGGTATTTTTCAGCCAAAACTCGTGGATGTTGACCAAATTCCAAAGTTGCTAGTTTTCAATATAGTGTTTACACCAGAATCCCAGAAGGCAGCAAACATTTTGTAGTGCTTATGTTCAGTTTGTGGACATTGCTTTATTAGGATTTTGTAATATGACTTTTTTGTAAACATTCCGGTTAAAAATGAAATCAATACCAGTAATGGAGAAGCAGGAAGAACCACATTACGTACCAGCCTGTCGGAGCTTGGAGAAAAAAAGGAGCTGAATTTTCTTTAATCACTAACTGTGTGATTCTTATGGAATGTCTGCACACTGAGAAAGGGATAAGTGATGGCAGTAAGCGATCAGTTCCTTCTGACTTTCAGCTTTATTTGGCTTTATAGGCTGTATGTGCATTTCAGTTACTGGTCTGTAGCTCCAGGGCAGCCTTATCTTACTCTCTAAAACAGGAAATTAATAAAACCAACTGGCTATCTTGGAGAGTCTTGTCTACTAAGCTAGAGATATGTAACATGGGAGGCAATGATACCTAAACAAAGGTTTAACACTGGTGTTTCTTTTAACATCTAGATCCTGATCGCATAATTGAGAAGGCATCCCACTCTGGCATGATCAATCCAAGCCGTCAGTGGCAGACACTGAAACATAACACAGGAGCTGCCCACTTTGAGTATCAAATCCGTGTGACTTGCGCAGAACATTACTATGGCTTTGGATGCAACAAATTTTGTCGACCGAGAGATGACTTCTTCACTCACCATACCTGTGACCAGAATGGCAACAAAACCTGCTTGGAAGGCTGGATGGGACCAGAGTGCAACAAAGGTTTGTGACAAATGCCTGAAGCCTGGATCATCAGTAGGCTTGGATAGGACTTGAGTTCTTTGTATCCAAGCTGTAATTCAGTGATCAGTTTGTGTTGACAGTAGGGCTGAGGACTGATGGGACAGTGAGCAACTCATTACACAGGGGCAGGACAAGACTAGTTTCTGCCTTGTTTTTAAAATCTTGGAGGGATCTTGCTAGTACTGGGTACTTAGCAGATGTGTTCTTTCTCTGAGCATCCACATCTTTGCCCTTGGGAAGAAAACCCAGCCCACTGACTTCAATGGGAGTTCTGCTGCTGACTTCAATGGCAGGATTTCCCCTTTGGTGCAGAACTTCAAGACAAGCAGGAAAGAGAGACTTGTTTCAGAGCTGACCTGGCAAGTGTGAAGCTTTGGTCTTTGAAAAGTCCCCGGGTGTTTGTTCTACCTGAGCTGATGTTCAGCGTGTTTATTAGGGAATGGCAACTTCCTAAGTAATTTCAGAAAGAGAAAGCAGGACTGAATAGGAACAGTCTATCAGCATGTCTTGCTGACTGAGTTTAACTGCAATTTGAATAGACGCTCATCTTAATATCCTGTCTGTTCAGAGATAGGTCTCAAGTGTAAAGAGTAGTTTAAAAAGTTGCTTTGAATTAGATGTAAAGATAGGGAGAGTGCGCCAGTTCACCACAGAGGAAAATAAACTTGTAGACTCAGTGGCTTGCAGCTCAAAGGTGAAATGGTTTCTTTTACGTAGAAACAACTCTTTGAACAGTGCTAGGTATGATTTCTCTGTAAATCTAGCTACAGATAGATTTCATGTCACAAGGAGTCACCTACTTCATTTATTTTTTCATTTTCTAATAGACTTGATATATGAAGGACTTGTCAAAACCTTGGATTTAGTGGGATTACAGCAGTGGTTAGAGATTAAAACCTTCCCACCAGTGTGAAGATGCAAGAAGCAGGCTGCATGCTGATATTCTTTTGTTTTGTTTTTTTTAACAGCTATTTGTCGTCAGGGATGTAGCCCCAAGCATGGTTCTTGCACAATTCCAGGAGAGTGCAGGTAAATGCTCCCCTCTCTCTCTCTTTCCTTGTCCCCACCAAGCAATTAAATGAGTGATGCTAAACACAGTAGGATTGTGGAGGGAGGGTGTTTTTGGAGCCATATTTTTTGAGCAAGGCATATTATTCATGCAGACTTGCCCAGAACAAGGGGGGGAACAGGCTTTTAATGCACTGATAATTTGAAGCTTTTGGTTTGTGAAATGGTGGCATTTTAAGGGCTGGGGGAGAAGTGGGATAAATCATGTGAATACTGCCTAATGAGCACTGACTAATTGCTTCTGCTAAATAGTGCAAATGCCTTATGGGTTGGGTTTTTGTTTAGTTTTTATTTTTGGTTGTTTTTTTCCCCTCCAATATCCTGATTAATAGGCTGTTTCAACTACAAGCTTGAAGTACAGTGTGGCTTTTTTTCTCTTTTCTCTTTCACTCACGTTTTTCCCCCTTTCTCCCTCCCACCTCTTCTTTCTTCCATCAGTAGGCAAAAGTCAGGCATTCTTTAGAATAGGATTAGTTAAAGCTTTCGGTTCCTTTACCATTGTGAGCCAGGCTTGGAGTGCTGAGAGGTTAATAGCTGGGATGAAATCTTGTCAGTAGGCTCTGATGAATGTAGAATTCTGCTGCTGCGCTTTGAAGTCCATTCTGTCCTGGCAAGGAGACAATGAGAAGCAGAGTTTATCCATAACCCAACAACTAAATATTTGGAGTGCTTCAAAACATACAGCATATATTTATGGCACAGGGAGGTTTTCTCAATTACTAATACAGGGTTAACAAATATTAAAGCATCCTCATTCTTTATGAGCAGACTGGTTGTGTTTTCACGTAACCCTTTCTCATGCCTGTTTCTAAGGAATAGTGAGCTCAGCACTTCTGAGGCTACAAAGCAGCGATATTGATCCTGTGTAGGAAGGGTTAAAAGTGAAACTTGGATATTCATGAGTAAAACACCGAAATCTGAAAGAACAGAAGTCTTTTTTTCTGCTTAACAAACATACTGGTGCATTCTCCATTGCTGGATATGTTTGCGTGAAGTGAGCTGCTTTTCTTTCTAGATAAGCTGTAGTTCAAACAGGAATTAAATCTGAGGTGTCTGACAGTCTGTGTTATATAAAAGGTCAGCCTAAATAATCACTGTCTCTGTAATCTGTGTTTTAAAACAAAACAATTTTATTAAGGAACATTCTGAAAGTAAGGTAGGAAGTAACTTCTCATCTTCTGCGAGCAACGTGACAAAGTGAAAGTCGAGCCATGGGATGGGCTCATTCTGGGTTATGCTAAGGGATTTAAATGTTTAGCAGTGCTGATATAGGCTGGTAAACTTCTAAAGCACCACATAGATATATTTCAATAAAAAAAAAAAAAAAGCCAAGCCAGTAGTGAAGTACTGGGGGTCCAGATGGTGAGAGGAGCGTGTCAGTCAAGGCCACCAGTGATTTTGTGCTTCTGTCATCAGAATAAACATGCCTTGTAGGGTTGCTGTCTCCTAGTTAGAACAACAGGCTTTGTTTCCAGATTTTTTTTTTCCTTTCTCTTTCTAAGTCTCTTACCTCCCACTCACTGCCCAGACATGCACTAGTGCTCTTATTTACTTAAGGTGCAACTTTCCCACACTTGATTTGCATAGTCTTGAAACAATGCTGTCCTTCTGGTGCTTTCAGATAACTTCTGCTTGCCAAGTTAGACCAATATCTTTAAAGTGAACACAGAAACAAGATTTTATTTTCTTTTAAGTTTTGATGATTCATATGGCCTGTATGTTACAAATGCAACAGTTTAAAAATAACATCCTAGCAGAAACTGCTCTGGGTTCTGGTACAACAGACAACTTGCAAACATTCTTAAAATATCCTTTTCTCATTTGGTGCAAGTTACTTTCTTCAATGTAAGTCTGCCAACAAACCCAAATTTACTCAGGAATCATTATACAGAGAAAGTTAACTTTGTATTTCTCATGAGAAACTGTTGCATACATATTATTAAACAGGAATTATTACCATGAATCTTGTTCTGGAATTGATACCTAACTTTTTTTATGCCCATAGAGTTTGTCCCATTTTGTTTGTTATACTTTGAAGTTGATCTGACTGAAGAAAGCCATATCTTTGGCTCCACAACTTTATGCTCTTTGCGTGTTTTTTTTTTAATTCTGTTTAAATTTGCTTCAAAGAAAATGAATTAAAAAAAAAAAAACAAAAAAAAAAACCTTTTAATTTGACAGAAAGGAGTAAAATTCTAGATTTGAGTGCTTGTTTTTGCAGGTGAGGTAGATTAGTTTTGCTACCATGCAATCTCATAGGCAAGTTGCTTTCAGTGCAATACAAAGGGAATGTTTCTAATTTTTTTTTTATCATTCCATATTATTACAATCTTCCCTATACTAGAAGAATTTTCCAGGGGCTACTTGAAAGAGCTTGTTTTGTTTGGTCTGACTTTCTTTCATGTTCTCTGCACACAAAGAAACATAAGTTGGACTAGCAATTTTCTTATATACAAACTATTAAGATTTTCCCACTGACCCTAAATAGGCTGCAATTGAAATAGCTATAAAAAAAAAGTTTAATTAGGATGTCGTTTGTCACCTGAGATTTTTAGAAGGGAAGTCAGACTTGCCACTAGCTGTGTGATTACCCATTGGATGGATTCCTCTAGCTTTTTCCCATGAGAAGAAATTGCCTGTAAAAGAATGGTGGGGGGTATTATAAATAGAAAGATTAGCTGACTTCTGTACAGAAGAGGTTTATTTTCATAATTTAGTGACAGCTTAGTGCATAATTGCTGCCGATCAATTACTCTTAGGACCTGCTAATGAAATGCAGTACTTCAACCAACCTTTGCTTTTAACTTGTTTTCCTTGCTTCTACCTATAGATTAGCTTTAATTTGAAGAATTCTTGGTCTACCTTGCTAGTGTGAACTAAGTAAAAGTTAAATGAACTTTCTTATAAGAGGGCTTTACTTTAAAAGAGCATCTTCCTTTTAAGAACAGAATTCAAGTAACTCATTGATAGTGGCAATAAATAATAATAAATTCTTCTCAAAATATGAAAATTCAAATTTCTTAAGATTGGACATGTTTTAGTTATTACCTGAAAAGGGGATAGAGTAAATCAAGCTCTGAAATGCACTGGCAACAAATCATCTTTGAACACATGCAGAATCCTGCTGTGTGCTGTTTTCTTTAATCTCTTACTGTGGCCCAATCTGTATCTCCTGTGTATGAGTTATAGTTCAGAATAAGGTTAGGTTCCAATGCAGGAGAGAATTCCTAACGCCGTTCTGCTGCCTTGCCAACGCTCAGAGTCAGTGTTTATGGTTCAGTTCATCATCCTGCAAACTCAGCATGGCTGCAATGCCTGGAACCTTGTATTTATGAGGATCTCTGGATAACCGTTGTTTCCACTGACTCCCCCTTCCCCTTCCAATTTATAATGCACCCTGTCAAAGCCCAGAGATTGATTTGTAGTGCACACCCACCCTCTCTGCCACGTTTGTATGAGGCTCCAAAAGAGTATTATTGTGCTGAATGGCCTCATGCTGATTCTCTCTGAACAGTTATTCTTTTGTCAGGAGGCCAGCTACAGAGACCTTGGCAAAACTACTAAAATGTTTGTTTACAAGAAACCATCAAACAAATGTTGAATAGCTTCTCCTTTCTCCTTCTCCTCCTGCACCTCCCCAGTCTTTCTCAAAGCTTTGGAGTACTGCAGTCCTATCTATATAACTTTAAAGGGCTGGGGGAGAGGGAGGGCTATCCATTTATTTATTCCCTTTTGTTTCTTTGTTCTGATATATGTGTGTATAGAGAAATATATATATATATATATTTTTTTAATTTTTTTTTCTATTATACAAAGGTGTCAGTATGGATGGCAAGGCCAGTATTGTGATAAGTGCATTCCACACCCAGGATGTGTCCATGGCACTTGCATTGAACCATGGCAATGCCTCTGTGAAACCAACTGGGGTGGTCAGCTCTGTGACAAAGGTATGCTAATCTTACAGATAGCCAAGGGTAACACTTGAATTTTAACACCGGCAGACTTGCTCGCTCAGTTGTGCATGTGCTCTCTCCACAGAAAGCCTCCTGAAGTGTGGAAGTTCTTGTCCTTTATCATCTTAGCTGTGTGTTCTCTGCTGTTATGGCTGTTAGTACTGTTAGTATATATGCTTTGCTTTGTCAAGTCCTGTTTGTATGTGTGGGTGCATTCTATAAAGTCTCTAGAGCAAAGCACAGATGCGGTGATATTTCTGTTTTTTTCAAACCATGGCTTTTCAACTCTCGTCACCTTTTTTGCAGATCTGAACTACTGTGGAACACACCCACCCTGTTTGAATGGTGGTACCTGCAGCAACACTGGCCCTGATAAATACCAATGTTCCTGCCCTGAGGGCTACTCTGGACAGAACTGTGAAATTGGTAAGTGTGTGATGCAGCCCTTGAACTGCCACTGGTAGTTAATTATTTTGCTGTTTGGGGATTTTATGAGGTTGAGGAAGTCACTTTCTAATGTTAATCTTAATGTCAAGGCTGGCTGTAAGGATCAGACTTGCATGTTCATGCTTCATCAACTTGTATCTCTGAAAATCAGCCTTCTGCTCACCAGAGAGATCACTACAAGTTGCCTAGTTTGGCTCTGAGTCAAACAGGTGCAAGTCGAGGTGTTGATAAGCATCATGGAAGATGACTTCCTAGTAGGTAGTAGCTTTGATTCACAGTTGGCTCAGCCGGACAACACATCAAGTGCTGATGGATGTCCAGAGCAGAAGCGTGTAGCGGGAGCAGGGGATGGCTTCTTGTGATGTTGCTGTAGTCTGTATGATGATGTACTCCTGTCCTGGTGCAGCGGAGCACGCATGCCTCTCTGATCCGTGCCACAATGGAGGAAGCTGCCTAGAAACGTCTACAGGATTTGAATGTGTGTGTGCACCTGGCTGGGCTGGACCAACTTGCACTGATAGTAAGTCCCTTCAAAATTGTATTAAAATGTGCTAGCTTGCTCTTCTAGATTTGTCTTCCTAATGCCTGATGGACATACAAGACAGCCTGCTTAACGTTTCCCAGCTTTAGCATTGGTCTTTACCAGCTATTTAATACTGTGATGCTGAGGTTTTTGTTAAATGCAAGGGGAAAGAATGGCCAACAGTTTCTAGAGTGAAGTAGAATACACAGTATTTTAGTAGCATGCTGTCAAGTTGTTAAAATACTGGTTTGTATCAAAATCTGATTGTGCATGCTTAGGAGTGTAAATTTCTTCCCCCGTGCTCCAAATGCCCCTTTCTTACTATTATTTTTAAAACTTTTTTTTAAAGAGGCTTTTTCCCAAAATTTGAGTGGATGTAGAAATTCCTAGTAGAAGCCCTCTTGTCTCTCTGTTCCTTAGGGCAAATGCTAGTGACAACAACCATTCATCAAATTTATCATTTACTGACATTACCTGTTTGGTAACAGAGCTAAGCGTCTCCTTATTCTGTATTACAGATATTGATGATTGTTCTCCAAATCCATGTGGTCATGGAGGAACTTGCCAAGATCTAGTTGATGGATTTAAGTGTATTTGCCCACCTCAGTGGACTGGCAAAACATGCCAGCTAGGTAAGAACTCCCTTTCTCTTTATCCTTATGTTGCTCCAGGTGTTGGGAGTGGCAGGGAAATGCAGGAAGGATCATAGTCCAGCAGGCAAGGGCAGTCATGCCCTTTACTTCAGGCATGTTTACAGCAGTGAAGCCTGTGGACATATTCTAGCATATTCAGAAAACTAGGTTGCAGTATTGGCAGGACTGGGGCCCAGGACACGTTCAAAGTATAGAGTAACTGCTCCTGATGCATGCTAGCAGCTGAAGGAAATCATTGACTAAGCTAAACAGACTATAGCTAAACTTTAAATGAAGTGGAGAGGATGTATCCCAATCCCACCCCCACACGTATGTCTTCCTTCAGCCTGTGAGAAAGTTGCTGTATCTCTTCAGCCATGTCAACTCCTCCAGGCCAAGAAGTTCACAGCTGGGTTCCAAAATGTGGATGATCTCACGAAGAATGAGCTGTCTGCATTCCTTACACAACACACTAACTCCAGTGACCAGGCTGCAGCACTCCTTCGAAATTCTGGACTGAGATAGGGGGGGAGGGGAAGTTGCTTTTAAAGAGTAGCTAGGTAATTATCAAATAATTAGCATAGCCTGTACGTTCTAATTACAGAGAAATTGAAAGTAGCTTCAAAGACTGATGTTTGATTGACTTTTGTTCATTCAAGTCACGCTAATCCACACTGTATGCGTTCCTTAGATCTGAATGAATTGCTGTTTATTGCTGTGAAAACAGAGAGTAGACTTTTTTTCCTCTTCCTACTCTACAAGCCCTGCATTTGGCCATTCACGTTGTTTTTCAGATGCGAATGAATGTGAGGGCAAACCCTGTGTCAATGCCAACTCCTGCAGGAACCTGATTGGCAGCTACTATTGTGACTGCATTACTGGCTGGTCTGGCCACAACTGTGATATAAGTAAGTGTCTCTATCCTTGGGTTTCTTAAATTGTCTGTGTAAATGTATATATTCCTCTGAATTCTAAGCTTTGATTTAAAAACATCAGGTTGAGTCTCAGTAGCTGATGTTTTTAGAAAGGGAGTAGTTGGTGTGGAATGAAAATACACAATTTTATCAAACTCATTAGTCCATAACCTAGCTATATTCTGATAAAAATGAGTTAAACAATGATGTGAAGTTTTCCTGCTTCTACTCGAAGTATTGCAAGAGGTTCCCACCCATTATAATAACCTTATCTTAAGGAAGGCGTGCAGGAAACATGACAGAAGGTTATCTAGCTGTAGTTTTAAAGATAATTGAACTCTGTTTCTACAGCAAATAGATTTTTGCTTGCTAACATACTAATTTTATTACAGATATTAATGATTGTCGTGGACAATGTCAGAATGGAGGATCCTGCCGGGTAAGCCATTCTTGTTTTACTTTGGTTTCCCAGAGACTTGCAACAGTAACTGAAACATCTGAGTCTAAACACAAGTTGTGTAGAAAATAGCAATTAGCTGGCATAAATTGTTGTTTCTTTGAGTTGGGAGGAAGGATTGTCGTGTTATAGCATGTAGGGGTATATGTGTAGAACAATGAGGGCAGAAAAATGACTGCGTAAAAGGACTCTTTCACAACTACTGTCACCAGTGAGTGAGATGCTTGTGCAGACTATCTATTGTAAATGTAGGTATTCCACTGTAAAATGTGGATCAATGTGTTCTACTCAATACTACAAACACAAGCCTTTACTGTGTATAGATGCTTTGTTTTAATTCTTCTCTCTTCTCCTTCTCCTTCCTTCCAATTATTACTACCTAGTTTTAATTTGAGCTAGTATCTTATGTTGGTAATAGACAGTGTAGAGGATATATATTTTTAATTCTTTTTTCCTTTAATAAAAATATTTAAAGATAGAGGAAAGAAATGTAACTTTGAATTTTATTGTTTCTTCCCAGGACTTGGTTAATGGATATCGGTGCATCTGTTCACCTGGCTATGCAGGAGATCACTGTGAGAAAGACATCAATGAATGTGCAAGTAACCCTTGCATGAATGGGGGTCACTGCCAGGATGAAATCAATGGATTCCAATGTCTGTGTCCTGCTGGTTTCTCAGGAAACCTCTGTCAGGTAAGAAGCATGGGTGAAAAGCAGGCCCTCAGCCGGTGGTGTTTCCACCAGTGCTTTGGATCTGTACACTGAATACCTTGCATCCAGTGAACCATAATATAAGTTGTACTTGATATCATTGTCAGTCTGCCAAGAAAGTGACTGATTAGTATATATCTTGTGGGGGAGGGGAGAAGAGCAGGGAAGGAGAAAGCAACGAAAAACCCTCATGGGTTGCAGAAGATTCTTTTTTGTTAAACAGACTGCAAGTGTTTGCATGTCAGGTTTTGCTGCATGCTAACTATTAACTTTCAGTGGCTGTTTAATATCAAGTGTGCTGTCGGTTGAAATAGCTGCAAGTCTAACTAAACTCTGTGTGTTATGAACAAGTCATTGAGGCAGTAGATAAAAAGGTCAGATTCCACAATGTCTGCCTGTCATACTGAAGGAAAACTATGATAAAACTTCAGTCTCACTCAGTCTTTCCCTTCCCTCAATGTCCTACCCCCCCTTTCCTTCCTCTTTCCTTTCTCTACACTGCTTACAGCTGGATATAGACTACTGTGAGCCAAATCCTTGCCAGAATGGTGCCCAGTGCTTCAATCTTGCTATGGACTATTTCTGTAACTGCCCTGAAGATTACGAAGGCAAGAACTGCTCCCACCTGAAAGATCACTGCCGCACAACTCCTTGTGAAGGTGAGCAAAAATGACTGAGAACTGTTTCTTCCTGTCCCCTACCAATGCCAAAGAAGTGTAGCTGCAATAGTGTAACAAGCAGAATCATTTTTATAAATAGCCTCTATTTCAATGAGAAGATGAGTAATATTTATAAATAGTAGCTGTTTAAAAGATAGCAAAATATAAACATGTTTTAAATAAACCAGTTTGGTTGAATGTACTACAGACTGGAAAGTGGGTATGGCAAACTTCAGATAAGATGCTGTGATGATTTTTATGCATAAATACTAGGTATAGGGCTTTTTTATTTTAAAGCTGTAAGCTTATGTATGTCTCTTAAACTTCCATCTATGGAAATAAAAATGTTGCAATTAGCTTAAGAAATCAGATGGAATGGGCAACCCTCATTCAAGTGTCCTGTTTTTCTACAGTAATTGA